TATACAAGACAAAACCCAAATAAAGACCAAGATTCATGGACATTTGCAAACCAAATGGAACCAATCGAAATCAGACCTCAGAGAAATCCATCCAATTTGCGCTCACCACTTCCCACAGCCGAAATCTCGAATCCACCAAATAAAATTAAATAGACTCCGGATAGGCCATACGAGATACACACACGAACATTACATAACAAAGGCGGAACAACCATTGTGTAGTGCGTGCGGCGTACGCGAAACGGTTCGACCAGAGATATAGATCGACACATACTAATAACCTGTCCAAAATATGTACTAGGTACAAAGAAATACTTGTGCGACTTAACCGTACTAACAAAAAACAACAGACTACTAGATGTAACAAATTATTTAAGAACTATTCAATTGTTTGAAAAGATTTAACATTGGTCGCCAATGGTCTTAGAAACCGACGCGACCTTAAACTTAAAAATAAATAAATAAATAAACAAAGTATTATTACTGACATGCATCCGTGTATGCAGTTTCGCAAAAGAAATTTGCTTATAACGAACAATGCAAATTGTTACAATTATTGCTTCGTGACCTATACACGCAAATATATAAATTATGAAATTATTCAAACACCTATGTCTCTAGGTACTATATATTTGGAGAATGTTTAAACAAAAGGCAATTCTAAAGATTATTTTGTGAAACAAAAAACCAAATACAAATACGGAGCTAAAATACAGGGTGATTCCTATAGTACCTGCCACCGTTTGGGAGCGTGTAGGTGGTGCGTAGGGGAGTATTTTGATATAGGACACTTGGGGTCGGAAATCTAAAATAAGGGTGCCAGAGCCAAATTTACCTTCTGGAATTTCGCGCCTGTAGGTAGGCAACCCAACCGGCCGGCGGTGCACACGGAGCGATCTCAGGCGGCGATGTGTGGCTGACACTTGATCAGAATTTTGTTTAAACCCACGAAATCCCGTCTGCAACGACGCGTATCAAGTGAATAAACCCTATGGCAATAGTATAATAATAGTTGGCTAGATGTAGGAAGTGCATTGAGAACAACGGTGGCCACGTTGAACACTTGTAAACGTTATTGCTTTTGACTGTCGTTTTCCCTCCTTCCCTCCCATGTCGCTTCCTCGCGCTAACTCGCTCTGCATCGCTCCGCGCGAAACGTCGGTCGGTTGGGTTGCCTACATACAGGCGTGAAATTCCAGAAGATAAATTTGGTTCTGGCGCCCTTATTTTAGATTTCCGACCCCAAGTGTCCTATATCAAAATACTCCCCTAGGCACCCCCTATACGCTCCCAAACGGTGGCAGGTACTATAGGAATCACCCTGTATATTGTTGATTAATTGGCAAAACCACATAGTATCAAATACGCTTAATCGTAACCCGTGAAATTTATATTATGCCCGATTTACCTACCTCTTTATTTACTCTCTAAATAAATTCTATGGATACCATTGTAGATACAATCATTGTCACCGTACTTACCTGTCGAATAAATTTATCGAGAGATGGAAAAACTGACCCTTAGTAAAATAAATTCTAATTCATAAATAGTATATTGAAAGACAAGTGTTACAATGAGACCTATTGTAATACGACTATCTTGTGGCACGAGTGGCGACGCGAAGCGTAGCCACGAGTGTCCGCAAGATAGGAGTATTACAATAAAGCATTGTAACACGCGTTTTTCATACTATTTTTTCTATTTCGGTGCTTTAATTTAATTAAAAAAATCATTATCAGAAACTATAGGGAACATTAGAACTAACATGTTTTATGTTGGGAACACTTTTTATGCCGTTAAGTTTTAGGTTGGCAGCGTAGTAAGACTGACATTTTGAAGTTCAAACATGAAAGTACCCAACGAAGTACCTACTAGTACTAACTAGTAACTGCCAACTTAAGAGATGAGTTACCAAAAAAAAAAACGACTATAATCACTGTCTTTGTGCAACTGTTTTCGATCATCATTGTGACACCAAAATAGATAAAATAAAATTGTGTGGCATATTTGTTTTGATTCAATTTATACGCGCCTAAGCTCGTACGTTTGGAATAATTTTGTTGCATAGCTGAGGTGAAAAAATTATCAAAGTCCTCGTTTGAGATCGAAGGGACTTCAGCGCATTTTTGTGTGGCAGATCAGTATTCTATTAGCCACTTTCGACTCAACCATCAATAACAGATCTTGTCGAAGGCTACTACATTCACTAACCGCTTCCCACTTTCCTCGTGCACCCGCAATTCGCTTTTAAAGATTTGACTCCACCATCAGGAAGATCGTGTCGGGGGCTACCACATTCCCTTTGACGGTACCCACTTCCGACGTTCGGTTCACCCGCAATTCGCGTTTGAAGATTTGACTCCACCATCAGGAAGATCGTGTCGGGGGCTACCACATTTCCTTTGACGGTACCCCCTTCCGACGTCCCGTTCACCCGCAATTCGCGATTGAAGATTTGACTCCACCATCAGTGAGATCGTGTCGCGGGCTACCACATTCCCTTTTACGGTACCCACTTCCGACGTCCCGTTCACCCGCAATTCGCGTTTGAAGATTTGACTCCACCATCAGGAAGATCGTGTCGGGGGCTACCACATTCCCTTTGACGGTACCTCCTTCCGACGTCCCGTTCACCCGCAATTCGCGTTTGAAGATTTGACTCCACCATCAGGAAGATCGTGTCGGGGGCTACCACATTCCCTTTGACGGTACCCACTTCCGACGTTCGGTTCACCCGCAATTCGCGTTTGAAGATTTGACTCCACCATCAGGAAGATCGTGTCGGGGGCTACCACATTTCCTTTGACGGTACCCCCTTCCGACGTCCCGTTCATCCGCAATTCGCGATTGAAGATTTGACTCCACCATCAGTGAGATCGTGTCGCGGGCTACCACATTCCCTTTTACGGTACCCACTTCCGACGTCCCGTTCACCCGCAATTCGCGTTTGAAGATTTGACTCCACCATCAGGAAGATCGTGTCGGGGGCTACCACATTCCCTTTGACGGTACCCCCTTCCGACGTCCCGTTCACCAGCAATTCGCGTTTGAAGATTTGACTCCACCATCAGGAAAATCGTGTCGGGGGCTACCACATTTCATTTGACGGTACCCCCTTCCGACGTCCCGTTCACCCGCAATTCGCGTTTGAAGATTTGACTCCACCATCAGGAAGATCGTGTCGGGGGCTACCACATTCCCGTTGACGGTACCCCCTTCCGACGTCCCGTTCACCCGCAATTCGCGTTTGAAGATTTGACTCACCATCAGTGAGATCGTGTCGCGGGCTACCACATTCCCTTTTACGCTACCCACTTCCGACGTCCCGTTCACCCGCAATTCGCGTTTGAAGATTTGACTCCACCATCAGTTAGATCGTGTCGCGGGCTACCACATTCTCTTTTACGGTACCCACTTCCGACGTCCCGTTCACTCGCAATTCACTTCTATTGGCGACACGAGAAAGAGAGACAGCGATTCGAGATTTACGAAACGTTAAACCGCGTGAGTTCGCAACGGAAGGTAAAAGGCGCCCGAAGTGACTACTTCTCGAAGACGCGCGCGCGCGCCTCGCAAAAGGTCGTTAATTTCGCCCCTATGACAAAAAACAAAATTCCGCCACGCAGGAGTTGTGCGCGTTTACAACATCTTTCCGACGACACCAATTTCAAAAGAATCGGACCAAAACTGTAGTAGAAGATAGGAAAAAACTGAAAAACCTTCACGTTAGTATACTACGCTCGAGGATGACGCCCAGATGTCGCCAACCCCACATCATGTAGCCATGTCCCTAAGGTTGACAAATTTCACGGCCCTGTAGATACACGTACACCCGTTGCCTTTCTACAAGAGTTCTTCTACGCGCCCACATTTGCTGCCAGCCAGCCAGCCAGCCAGCCAAAGTGAGATTAAAAGCTACTTTTTACAAATAAATGTGCAAAAATGCGCTAAAAATTAAACGATATTGTTTCGTTTGCGAATACATGACAGTAGAGCGCGCAGAAATATTTGGGGTGCATGAGTTATGAAAAAGTTCCATACCCACATTGATTAATAAATAATAAGTACCTAAGTTTGGTTCCGATACACTTAGATTTGCCATACAATGAATTCTAAACATTTGCGCAACGTTCTACGAAACAATTTCGAAACAACTCTTGAGTACATAATTGGTAGCTATCCATCTTATAACGACTCAAAACGGGGTGATAGTGAATAAGTAGATTGATAAAAGACACTAAACCTTCCCCATACTTCTTTTTATTATTTCCGGTAGTTAAAATATTTTCGTTTTAAGATGGCTGTGTCCATCTCGTCCCCTCTAATTTCGATTTTATATTAATCAATTGTACTTAGAATATGTGAGGACAGAAGTTTTTAAATTGTTAAAATTGTTATTGTTTCCCATGTCATAAATTAGTAATTTTTCCTCCTACGGATAACCAAAATGTACCCTTTTAAATTGTAACTTTTCAACCACCTTTACATGTTCTCTTAAATTTAAGCTTGATAATGACCTTCGGGTCGCTGTCACCTAATGCCTTTATTTTAACTACCGGAAATAATAAAAAGAAGTATGGGGAAGGTTTAGTGTTTTTTATCAATCTACTTATTCTTGAGTACATGTTACGACACATTTTTAGCAACACAAGGTAAACAACTGAGCCTTAGTGCCTGAATACACTATGCGTTTTAAACGCATCCTTTCAAAAATGCGTCCTGCGAAACCGGAAGGTTGTGTGCATAGAATTACCAGTGATTATAATTCTATGGTTCTGTGCGTTTACATTACTTGCGGCGACCGGAACGCAACCGGATAAGAGTAAACGCTCGCATTTAAATCCATTGGATGCAGTAATCCGTTCAAAACGGTCCGGTCAAACGGGACCGGTTAAAACGCATAGTGTATTCAGGCACTTAGGTTTTATATTTGTTGTACCACTTTTAAGTTATGCAATAACGTAACACAATTTATGTTTAAAAGTATGTGATAAGATAGGACACGTACCTATAATAAAATGCTTATCAGAAAAAAAGTGTATTCAAAGTCTAAACGGTGACCACAACATGTTTTCCACTAAATTCGCTGTAAATAGTATACTCATACTATTTTTCGTATCAGCTGCCCTGTCCGATACGGTATTGACCTGAATTTCAATATTTAAGTGCGCCCTGAAAAATTTGTTTGTAGGTGCCCAATGATATTTCCAACAGTTGGAAAAAAGCCGTTAATCGTGTATTAATGGCATGTGTGGAAGAAGACAATAATGGCATCACGCCTTACGATGTTGAGGAAATGGTTAAATCATGGAACATACCCGAGTCGATGAAGTGCTTTATGGACTGTGTGTACAAGAAAAATCATTTTGTTGACGAAAACGGACATTTTACTGACGAACTCCTTGATTATAAAGGAATAACAAAAGAAAATATGCAAGCGTGCGAAGATGCTGTACAAACTTCAAGCAAGGATTCATGCGACAGGGTATACGATTTTTGCAAGTGTATCGTCCAGGACATAAAGGACAAAAATTGATCTGCGTTTATTTAAAATTATTTACACGTTAACATAGAAGGTGTCGGGTTAAATTTGCTTACCATTTTAGCGAATAAAATGTGATAATAGAAAAATGTCTTATTTTTTATCTTTCAGTGTGTGGAAAATCCCGTGAATAATCAAGGGTAGCAAAAAAGAAGTAGGCGGGAAAAATAGGAAGATCGAGAATTATTGATATTAGCGTAGTAACGTATTGTACCTACGTATTTGTTTTGTGAATCGTTTAATTCATTGATAAATAAAGCACTATTAAAATACCGTGTTTTACCAATTGTCGATGCTTTTTTTCATGGTGCCGAAACCCGGGAAAGAGGAAAGTGAATCGTGGAACTTTAATAACGGACAATTCGGTTTCTAACGGACGTGCCGGTATTGACAGTTAAAGTGTAAAAATTTGATTAACGTCATAACGTGAACTGTTTGTCAAAAATAGTGCATTAACGGAAGCATATTATCATGAATCAAGCGCTAAAGAAAACGTATCGGACGCAGCTAACGAAACTTGTGGATCGGGCTAACGAAATGTCTGATGATAACGCGCCGGTTGACCACAAGGAAGCTATTGTTTTAATTAACAGACTGAAATCGGTGAACGACTCGTTAAAGCGCGTAAATATTGAAGTGGCAAGTCAGATACCCGTCGATAAGGTTCAATCAGAGTGCGAGAAAATTATCGAATACGAAGATAAGGCGGTTGCAGCGATTGCCAGGTTGGAATTCGAACTATCAGGCGCGGGTGGAAAATATGCAGCCAGCATCGCCGACGCCGAAGAAGACGGGGGGTCCATTACAGCCGAAGGACGTGCAGCCAGAGCAGCTTCTACAAGGGCAGAAACCAAAAGGGCGGTGAGATTACCCAAATTAGAATTAATAAAATTTAACGGTGATTATAAAATGTGGCCTGCCTTTTGGGAGCAGTTCGAGACTGCTGTTCACAATAATAACGATCTAGGGGAATCTTCTAAGTTTACATATTTAAAGTCTGTTTTAACTGGAAATGCTTCAATAACCGTTCAAGGTTTAACGTCCAGTAGTTCAAGCTATAAAGATGCAGTTGAGCTTTTAAAGGAGCAGTACGGAAATAACGAAAAAATTGCCGATAACTACACTCAACAGCTGCTAGCTTTAACTCCAGTCAAAACCAAAAATGATGTAGTTTCATTGAGAAAATTATACAATACAGCTTCAAAAATAACGCGATCTCTGCAGACGCTGGGAGTGTCTCCACAAAATTATGGGATGATGGTGAAATCTATTTTATTAAAAGCACTACCCTTTACTATGAGAACTGAATTCCTCAAACGACAGGTTACAACTAATGATAATGATGATAACGAGTCTGTTGCTGGAAGTGTCATAAGTTCTAAAGAAATCTCATATGAACATCAAATTTCTCAACTTTTAAACTTTATTAAGTTAGAAGTAGAATCAATTGAACAGGCTAAAGTTTTGGAAGATGAGCCTAAAAGTAACGAGAAAAATTCAGTTCACAAAAATAGATTTCAGAAATCTAGTGATAAAACGTGCACAGCAGCAGGTTTGCTTACATCTGTAAAAGAACAGTGCTTGTTTTGCAACTCTAACGATCATGGCGCGATGGATTGTGATAGCAAAATAACGCTGGCGCAAAAGAAAGAGATTTTAAAATCTAAAGGGCGCTGTTTCCGATGCACCAAGTCGAATCACAATTCAAGGTTTTGTCGAGTAAATGTATCTTGCGTAAAGTGTAAAGCGAAACATGCAACGTCTATGTGTGATCCAGAGTATCAGAAGAAATCTGCCACTGTAACTGAATCCACGAAAAATGACGCATCGAGTAGTAAATTTGAGTCGACAAATTTGTTAGCGAACGGGTGCTTAGGCAAAATAATTTATTTACAAACCGCTTGTGCACAAATAATAACGAACAGTGGCGTACCTAAGAGTTTTTTACGTATGGTTATAGATGGAGGTAGCCATTTAACTTTTATCAAAGAATGTGTGTCACGAAAGCATAACTTACCTGTTATAGGGACACACAAAATATCGATAATGCCTTTTGGAAAATCTGAAAGGGCTCCGGCTCGCTTATGTCGAAAAGTATCATTAACGTTGAAAAGCGAGTATATTAACGATGAGGTGACTATCAACGCGATTGAAGTGCCCGAAATTTGTTTTGATTCATTGAGCGCACCGTCATTAAAAGAACCATTGATACATGAGTTCAGCATAAATTATCGATTAGCGGATTTGTGCGACTCTAACGTTAACGTTCATCATGGAATATCGCTTTTAATTGGTTCTGATTTTTATTGGAAGATAGTGACCAATAACACGAAGAAAATCACTGAAGACTTGATGGCGATCGAAACCAAATTTGGTTGAACAATTCACGGTGTAGGCAGCGGACATTTTAACGAATACGCGTTTTCGGTCGGGATTAACGTGGCGAACATTTTACACGTACAGTGCGAGCTCGATTGTGAGACTGTTGGTAACGGGTTAGAAAACTTTTGGACTCTTGAAACAATCGGGATAAACAATGATAACGTGACGGACAAATCTCATACAAAACACTTTTTAGATGAGAATATAACTTTTGAAAACGATAGATATTGTGTTGCCATGCCTTGGATAGAGCCAAACGTACGGGTTGATTCTAACTTTAACGGTGCCTTCAATAGGCTAAAGTCATTAACGCGCAAACTCAACGAACGCGGCAAACTTCGGGAATACGATTGTGCGATGCGTGAATACATGAACAATGATTGTGCCGAACTTTTACCGGAAGTGACAAATGACATTCGAATTTATTTTATGCCGCACCGGGCGGTATATCGGGATGACAAAGACACTTCAAAATTAAGGATCGTGTTTGACGCGTCGGCGCACGGCCCTGGTATGCCTTCGTTAAATGACGTACTTTTGCAAGGCGAAAATTTAGTGCCGTTTCTTTTACGAATTTTAATGAACTTTCGTGTCGGACGAGTTGCATTTACAGCCGATATCGAGAAAGCTTTCTTGCAAATCGCTATAGCAGAACGCGATCGTAATTCTCACAGTTTTTTGTGGTATAGCGTTCCTATTGATGACGTCAATAATCTTCCACGAATATCAAAATACCGAATGAAACGTGTAACGTTTGGGATTAAGTGCAGTCCCTTCTTGCTGGCGGTTACACTTAAGAAACTTTTACAATCGCAGCCGGAAAATCTAGCAGACACTTGCGAAATTTTGAGGTCTTCATTCTATGTGGATGACTTGGTAGTAGCAGTTGATAACGTAACTCAAGCCGAACGTATTTACTAAGAGTCCAAAGAAATTTTAGCTAAAGCTAATATGAATTTACGTAAGTGGAACAGCAATGACGTTTCGCTCAGAAAATTGATGAAACGCGAGGAAAACGTTAATGCCAAGAAAGTACTTGGAATTTTATGGTACCATAACGATGACGAGTTAGCAGTAGATATAACTTCAGTTTTATATGAAATCGATAATAAATCTATAACGAAACGTGGGGTGCTACAAATAGTATCGAAAATTTATGATCCACTTGGCTTTATGAGTCCCTTTTTGGTAAGAGCAAATAAGATATTGCTCCAAGAAATTTGGAAACTTAAGGTCGACTGGGATTCAACCACACCTGATAATATCACCAATGAATGGTTGAGATGGTGTTTTGAACTGAAATCTTTGAAACATTTTTCGTTTACCAGATGTGCACTCGAAGACAGAAACTCCGAAGTTTCACTTCACATTTTTGCGGACGCGAGCCCAAAGGCGTATGGAGCAGTGGCGTATCTCAGAGTAGTTAACGAAAACGAAGTCGAATGTAACTTTATCATGTCTAAGGGTAGAGTAGCTCCAATTGACAAAAAGGGAGATAAGAGCTTAACGTTACCAAAACTGGAACTCACCGCGGCAGTCTGTGCAACTCGACTTCAGAAATTTATACTTGAAAATATTGACGTTAAATTTCATTCCTGCACTTTGTGGACAGATTCGAAAATAACGATATATTGGATCATGGGCAAAGCTGACAGGTGGAAACCGTATGTTCGCAGTCGTGTAACTGAAATTAAGAAGAACTCAGTTGGAGTATGGCGCCATTGTCCAGGGGCAGAGAATCCAGCAGATTTACTAACGAGGGGTGTAACATCTAAAGGTCTTATGACATCGGAAGTTTGGAAACATGGACCTAATTGGCTGAAATTTAAACCAGAAGAATGGCCTGAAGAAGATATCGCGATAGGATCTGAAGCATCTGTTTTGCTCGTACAAGGAGAAGAAGTAATCCAGAATAACGAACCAATCTTCAAACTTGAGAGATTCAGTAGTTTGGAGAAAATCTTTAGCATTACCGCTTATGTTAAAAGATATTCCCATAATCTAAGAAATAAAAAGAACAAAAGAACTGGAAGCTTGAAGGCTCAAGAGTTAAAGGAGGCTGAAAGATATTGGATAAAGGTAACTCAAGGACAGCATTTTTCAAGTGAAATAGCTGACCTAAGAAGAGGTAAAAAAATTGAACCCTCTTCTCGAGTTTTAACGCTAAGTCCCTTTCTTGATGAAGACGATATAATGAGATTAGGAGGCCGTTTACAGGAAAGCTCCTTACCGTACCAAACGAAATATCCTGTGGTGTTACCTAAAACGTCATTTCTAACGGATAAACTTATTTCGAACTCTCATGTTTCCACAATGCATGGTGGAGTAAACGTGACGATGGTACATATAAGAAAACGATTTTGGATTTTACAATGCAGGCAAAGAGTAAAATCTATACTGAGCAAATGCATAATTTGCAAGAGATTACGAGCAAAACCTGGCAATGAACCTTTTGCACCCTTACCAAGAAGTAGGGTGTCTTCAGCAGAACCATTTAAGGTAACGGGCCTAGATTTCGCTGGACCTCTATACATTATCAACGAATCGAGGCGGCAAAAGGCTTACATCATGCTGTTAACGTGTGCTGTGGTACGTGCCGTACATCTTGAAATAGTTCCTAATCTAACAGCAGAGAGCTGTATTAACGCATTTAGACGGTTCATTTCAAGAAGGGGAGTTCCGGATATCATTTATTCAGACAACGCGAAAACATTTAAGAGAACAGCTTTAGAATTGAAAGAATTATACAAAATAATTTGCACCGATAAATTTCAAAATTTTGTCACAGGACGTTGCATTGAATGGAGATTTATTGTGGAGCGCGCCGCGTGGTGGGGCGGATTTTGGGAACGAATGGTCAAAACTGTAAAAGATGCTCTAAAATTGTCACTTGGAAAGAAATCCCTTGATTGTGACGAACTACAAACCATCATTTCAGAAATTGAAGCTACGGTGAATATGAGACCGCTTACCTACTTGGATGATCAGCCCGAAAATTTAATGTTTTTGACACCAGCACATTTCCTTTTGGGTAGTAACGAATGTGGATTTCATATCAACAACAACCATCCGGATATTAAAAAACCAAATTTTGCAAAAATGGAAAAATCGTAACAAGTTAACGCAGAAATTTTGGAAGGTTTGGTCAAATAACTATTTGCAACAATCACGACTGTTCCATAATCAACATCAAGTTCAGTCTAAGAAGATAGAAGTTGGAGATGTGGCTTTGCTACATGACGATAACGTACCAAGACTACTTTGGAAGTTAGTCCGAATAATGAAGTTATTTCATGGACGTGATGGAAGAGTTAGGGCCTGCGAAGTGAAAACTGCCGACCAGACCGTTTTGAGACGGCCAATTCAATTACTATTTCCCTTGGAAATCACTGGGGCCGGGGAGGATGTGGAAAATCCGTGAATAATCAAGGGTAGCAAAAAAGAAGTAGGCGGGAAAAATAGGAAGATCGAGAATTATTGATATTAGCGTAGTAACGTATTGTACCTACGTATTTGTTTTGTGAATTCGTTTAATTCATTGATAAATAAAGCACTATTAAAATACCGTGTTTTACCAATTGTCGATGCTTTTTTTCACAGTGGAAACTATTTTTCTATAGCAACTATTCCGTATAAGCATTATTCTTTCACCGCTCCAAGAGTACTTGCCAAGGAATCAACCATTGGATCTTTAAAAATGCACGAAAAATAATCCTCGAAGAGCGTTACAATTAAGGCGTTTAAGAACTGAAATAAAATTCCTAAACAGAGTAATTGAAGTTATACGGGGTGTCCAAATAGAAGCTGAGGCTGAGTCTATTGACAACCATTGCAAACTACCTACTATAAATAGAATATTGAGTTGTTTCAATAGCACTAATTTGTATTCATTTGTTACGTTAATGTTGGTGTAATTTTTTTACAAATCGCCATGCCCCTCAACCGAACGGTTACTAAATTATTTCAGTTTGTACATATTTCTTCCATACGTAACTTATGCCTTTCGCAATTATACACGACACATCCACTACTTTAATACACAAACAAGGTGTTTGTCAGTATAATCCTCTAATTACGTTCCTTGGTCAAAACAGCAATTAGACGGCGCAGTTTAAAATCGTGTTTTGAAACGCACAAATTATTTCAGTTTCCTGTTCTTGCTATTATTTTAGATTAGTTTTATACACCACGAAACTTTAAGATTTTGAGAAAATGAGAAAATAACTGAATTCAAAGATATCACAAGATACTTTTAACAAACTTTCAGTGATTTTTCTCACCTTTCTGATGGCACTAAAATCGGTCTAGCTCTATGACATTAGGGCGCGACCGTTAGAGCGCGAGGATATGGGCGGGAGGGCAAAAGGGCGCGGGACATAAGGGCGGGAGGACATATGGGCGCGGGACAGAATATTCTCTAAAAAATATATTGTGATTAGTTAGGGCGTTCGCGATACCAAAAACATACCGGGTGAATATTTCAAAACCGAGCATAGGCAATTAACATGGGAAAAGGTTTTTTGCAGTTCGTTGCTCCTCATGATAAGGTCTTAGCGGGTTTATAATGACACCAATCAAAAGAAGATTTTTTCCTCATCTAAGTGTCCCTTCACACCGGGCGACATAGCAGCGCGACTAAGTCGCGCTGCTGAGCAGCGGGACAGGATGCAGTGCAGCGCTGCTAAACAGCCAGCAGCGCGACTGAGTGGATTTGAACGTGCAACTGTGTCGCGGGTTAAGGTGATTCAGTCGCGCGCTGCACTGCGTTCCGTACCGCGCGACTAAGAAGCGCTGCTAAGTCGCCCAGTGTGAAAGGGCACTAATGATATACGAATTAGTATATTTTCATGTGTATTTCTCATTATTTTATCCAGTGGCGTAGTCAAACAAAATTTTGTACTACCGTTTCTGAGATTTGACCCAATCTTGCTATTTTTCAAATGTATAACATCCTGTATATATTGACGTCAATGTTTTTGCATTCTTTTTCCTGATTACACTAATGTATCACAATCTCTATTTTTTTTAATTTTAGCCGTCAATCAAAAATAAAAACCTTAGTTTTTCCGATTTTTAAATAGTAGGCCATGGATTTATGGCGATTTTGTTTTGTTTATTGTATCCATGGTAACTAACACCAATCCTCGGACCAATCAATAACACTGGCTGTCAGCAGAAACATGTCGATTCAAAAATTTTAAAAATATGATATAATATAACATTAATTATATAAAAAAAAATGTAGTTTGTTATACATCAATGTAATCAGGAAAAAGAATGCAAGCAATTTAAGTTAAAGTATACAGAATGTTGTATTCAAAAAGTACTAACTTTGGGTCAACTCTCAGAAACGGTGGCCCAAAGATATTTTTGATACGCCACTGGATTCTACGTAAAAATATCTAGGTAATACGATGAGTTTTCACCTTTTTTCTATCTTAGATAGAAATTATTAGATTTTATTTGTGGTATCAAAAGCTGCTCAGGCTTGCGAAAACCGGAAGTCTCTATCTTTAAAAACAGCTGAGATACATTGCAGTGTCAACCGAAATAGAACGCACTGTACACTTGGCAATTAGTTTCAGTTTGTGACACCAGCACAAACTCTCAATAGTTTATAAGAGACGGTTTTGTCGGTTTTTTTAACGGAAATCTGTGCACACGTGCTCCATTTGTTGCCGTTTTTATTTTTTCAAAACGGTGAGTCAGTGGATCATGTAGTGTTTGTATTTTAAGTTAATTTTTTTGTAATTAGTGGACTGAAGGACCATAAATATATTTTTTTGTTGGTTAAATGATAATTTCCGCCCGAACCATACAAATACATAAATAAAAGTTGGGCACGTACCTGGAGTGACTGAGTGGCTGATTTCGGTGAGCTGCTGTACCGGCTGATGGGGCCCCCCAAAGATTGATTTGGTTTTTCACTTTTAAAATGATAAATGCGCGTAAAACTCGTGCATGCTTAACTCAACTCTTTCGCACATCGTTTTTTTTCTTCGCTCGCCCTTCTCTATTCATTTTTAAGCGTTTTCGCGAATCCGCCCGAGTGCCCGATTGTACTTGTATGATTTGAATTTATAGCGCGCCGAAACAACTGAGGTTTAAACATGTAGGTAAACTACGCGCGATGGCTGTCTGTTTTTGTTCACAACCTTCAGCAGTTGCCTGATCGTCATCCAGGTATATTCAAAGATCTCCAGTATGGCAACTTAGTCGGTGGCAAGTCCACTAACATGTTTTCTGGAATGGAATTGCCGTGGCCACATCACGAACTGAACAACAAGCTCGTAAAGTGATATGGTACCTAGCGCTCTCTCCTGTGTTAGTCACGTAAGTTCCTTGACGAAGTGGTCGATTGGAGGGCCAGAATTGTGCTAATTTTACGAGAATTTAAAGTGCAAACGGTCCTAAACAATAGCAAGCTTGCGAAGCATCATGAAAACAGTAATGCGTACCAGAAGTCAACAAAAATGTCGGAGCACTTGGATCGGTGATTGAACATGGTAATTCTTTCCTAGGAGCTGAACTAACAGCAAATAGCCAAAAATGTAATGAGTGATGATGCACAGCTTTCTACATCTTCCAACGATGCTCCTGGTGAAAACAGGAAAACAGGAAAAATACCTTATCACCGCCAAATGTGACGCTGAATTTTTTTAATCGGTCGTTATCTACAAAAACAACATGTTTAAATAAATTAACAAACGCGGATATACGTACAGTTCACAACCTATTGATTTAAGATACTACAAGTTTACGAAACTACCGCAAAAACTGCCAACGCTTCTGGTTGACCAACATATGGCAGTTCTAGTGTAACCATTATAGAAAAATGTTGAACATGATATTCGCTCTAAGTATTTTACTTTTATCATCCACTGTGTTCTCTTACAACGTAATTTTTGTACTGCTAGTAGCACTCACCAAAAACAATGCTTGCAGGTGCCCAGCGAGATTCACGAAGATTGGGTAGAAGTAGTCAATCGCATTAAAATGGAGTGTTTAGAACAAGGGAACACAACCTTGGAAGCAGTTAATGCGATCTATGAAACGTGGGATATAGACGAATCGCATAATTGCTTTCTGAAGTGCGTGTATGAAAAAGATCAATATATAGATACGGAAGGACATTTTACTAAAGCACTTCTTCAACGTAAGGGTTTAACTAAGGAAAATGTAAAAGACTGTGAACATGCAGTAGAGGCTTACAACAAAGAAACATGCGATAGGGTATATTATTTTAACAAATGTATCATTCCTAGAGCAATAGACGATTTTATTCACTCAACGAAAGATGCAGCTTAATAATGAAAAAATAATAATATTGTAATACGCAATAAAGTTAATACTTCTAGAATAGCAACAAGCTGTTTTTGTTCATGATGAATAAACGATAAAAGTTGTGTTAAAGATACTGTCAAAAGCAATGACCTTTGCAGGGCAGCATTCACCAGTTAGAATTTCGGATGGAGAGTCCACGGTCCTTATACTAAACGTTGACTCACTCGACGCAGTAGGTAGGGTGCGGTAAGAGATGGCGCTCTTGCTGGTGACGGAGGTCAATACGTAGTAATTTAAACGTAAAATAAAGTGTTGTTACATGTGCTTCACGTTATCAGATGAAATATAAAAACGATAAAAAAAAGCTATAAGGAAGTAGCGCGAGCAAAAGTTTTATGTTGCCCTGCTTCAGGGGTTAACCCACACGTTGCGTCTAATTCACTGGAGTATACGGATGTATGTTTTGGCATCATGGACCGTGAATAATCATCCCCGTTCACATTGAAAGCACTTCCTGTATCTCTATTTGTTTTTGATCCATCTGTATGCAACCAGAGAAAATCACGAAGTTCGTGAAGGGTTTTGTTAACTTCCAAGTGATTAGTAGTGTTCTAATCAAGTCATTCGGAACCGCGCAAGGAGGAATTGCCGGCAGGACTGGCGTGAGGTGGATGTTTATAAATTACTAGCTGACTCGACGGACATTGTCCTCTTTCTTAGCTATGAATACCTATTCAATTCAGACTGAAATAAATAATAACAAAAAATTTGCTGTGGCTAGCACAGGTACCACCCGCCCCACACCACATGCACGAATCTGCCTTTTATGTCTAAGAATATGTGTAGCAAATTTGGTTTAAATCGGTTCAACTGTTTAGCCGGAAAAGAGATTTTGACACACTTGCCACAAAATCTCCCCATCTCTCCCCAATATAATAAAAAATAAACGCACTCACTTCTATAGTTGCTTTTGGTGATTCAGAGCGAGCAAACGTACCTTTTTTGGCGCCAAATGCGGTAATTTGAAAGCAATTATTGTATTTCAGGATATGAATCAAAAAATGTATTGAATCTGGCCCATTTCCGGAAACCAAGGATGGTAGTGGCTCTGGCTAAGGGGTTATTGAGCCACTGTTGTATCTGTAAAAAAACTCAGGCCGCTCCCTTTCCTCTAAAACTGTCTACTTGCTCATCTCAGAATACTAGATCTTACTAATCCATTTATTCCTTTTTTCTCCACTTGACATAGATCACTGTCAAGATCATACTCGCAAATTAATCACTTATCAGCCATAGTTAATCATTTGGCATCAAGTAAAGTAAAACACAAGTCAATAAACACACTAGCTAAAATATGTGCAACTTAGGTATCTTAAAGACTCACTAAAGACAATGGAACTGAATGAGTTCGTTCGTGTCGTTGTCATTGGACAACACGTTGCATTTGAATAGATGAAACAATTGAACAATAGGATCCTCATAGCGTGATTAGAGTGAACTAATGACGTCCTTGCTGTCCACCAGCATGCACTCACCTCCCCGTGGATCTCCAACCTCCCGCCTACGTAACATAATCGCATTCGGGGTCCCCGTGTGTGTACCGGTTAAAATTTTAAAAATTTTGATTTTTCTTCCCTCTGGATCTCATTAAGTATTATTATTATTATATACTGTGCTATATCATTTTGTAGATAATTTTATGCTGTTTAATTCTCTAGAACAAAATTTTTAACTAGGAGCAATCGTTTTCAAATTATTCACGAAAAACTAAAAAAGGGACCTTTAACCCCTCCCCCCCTCCTTTAGCTCACACCCCACCCTTCAGTACTTTTAGTATGTTGTTCAGGATACCTTCCCCCACATTTGTGCCAAAATTGGCTTCTACATGATTTTTTTCCTCTATTCAGCCTTTTTTGGGCTTCGTTGCCTAGACTATTTATACTAATGGATAATCCAATGTGATATTTTGAAAAAAACAAATCGTTTCGTAGAGAAATTGAATTAAGTAAAAATCGCCATTTTTAAAAAGTTTAAATATTTTTCTAGGAATTGTTCCATTTTGAGTACCTATGTATAGATAAAGTGGTAAAGGATTTTCATGTACTCAAGTAAAATTTATTTATTGATTTTCAATCAAAATCAATTCAAAATCAATAAATAAATTCTACTTGAGTACATGAAAATCCTTTACCACTTTTTCAAATATTTATATTTGTAAACTTTATATACAGTGTTTCATAAATGTATACTTAAAAAAAACGGATCAAACGCATGGAATAGATGACTATAGGCAATATATGCAGTATAAAATACTAGAGCTCTGCTGGCGAGCCGCGAGTGGCGACCGTTTGTTAAATTTATCATACCCCAATCGTACGTTGACTTATAAAACTTACATCAATCGGATTATTAATTAAATTTTCCTGTACAGGCACCATGTCATGGAGATATAAATGCGCATTATAATTGAAAATCATATAAAGCCCATCTTGAAAAGCACGAGATGATTAAAATGTCAAAAACAAAGTGCTCTTAATTTATGAAGTCGCTGAAATAACCCCAATACGAAGGAAGCCAAAAGATTACGATTTATGTGCTGAATGTAAAAGTCTGCACAACGGTACATTCATTTTGGGAAGTAAGATACGGGCTCATTGCATGAATTTGGAAGCAGAATATAAAAGGTTGTAATTTCACATTCGCTGCACCTTTTGACTGTCGTATAAATTGGTACCTAGTAGGTACGAGTATATACTTATTCTTGTCAGAGACACATTGAACAAGGAACGACACAGTTTCGCCTAGGAGTATTCGTAAATCAGAAACGGGACGCGGTGGTCATATTTTTAATGTTGAAAACAGAGTTGAGTGAAGGATCCGGATCCTTCATTCAACTCTGTTTTCAACACTAAAAATATGTTCTTCACTCAACGCTTGCTGTTAGTAGGCGAAACATGCGAGAGTGGTGAAGCGATAGCAACTTTGAGATGCGGCAGTTCCCGAATGTGAATTACTAGTGGTTTGTCATTGACAGTGGTTAGTAGTGGGCCAATTTGCGCATACGTCGTAGAAAATGGAACATGACCTCTGAAAATAACTTCACCCTGTAGATTCCTATTACCATTGACATGAACAATTATGTAAGCCCTTTAGCGTAACATATTTCAAATTTGAGTTGAATATCTCAAAAACTGCACGGGCTATAAAGAAAAAAACTTAAAAAAATCCTGAAATTATAACACCCTGTAAATACGGTAACGACGAAGCGTTTAGGTTTACATAGTTTTAGCCATAGTCATAAACTAAGCCCAATAATTAATTATCTCTTTCCGTATGTACATGATATTTAAGAACACCCTGTATATCACCTGTATAACTCATAGTCCAAATTATTATTTATTTTCAAGATAGTATGAGGTCTATTTTCGTTTAAAAATGTCATATTTAATTGGTACCAAAATAGTTCCATTATTTATGCATATACACCAACGATATAATGTATCTACTATCAAATGATGATACTGCAAGGAAAATAACAACCCTTTGCAACATCATATACATACAAAGTTCATAACCAATTGATTAGATACAAGTTTACAAAATTGTCTTAACCAGAAATGTCTCATTGTTCATTATTTGTCGCAGTTATAGTGTAACCATTATCTAAGAATGTGGAATTCGATCGCTCTCAGTATATTTCTTTTATCATCCACTGTTTTCTCTGGCAAAGTAGTTACCGTTAGTACTGAGCACTAATCAAAACATTGTTTGCAGGTGCCCAGTGACATTTCCAATGATTGGACGAAATCGGTAAATAAGGTAAAAATGGAATGTTTAGAACAAGGGAACACTACCGTGGAAGCTGTTGACGCAATGCTTGAAACATGGAACATACCCGAATCGCTTAATTGTTTTATGACATGCGTGTATGAAAAAAATGGATATATAGATAAAGATGGAAATTTTACTAAAGTACTCCTTCACCATAAGGGTGTAGCCCAGGAAAATCTGCAACGATGTGCAAATGCAGTTGAAGCTTACACAAACGAAAGTTGTAATAGAGTATATTATTTTTGCACATGTATGGTCTCTTCAGTATCCATCAACGAAGTTTGAATATACCAACATATACAGCTTACAAATACCTATGTTGGCTTAATAATATTAAGTAATATAATATTTCATTCCTTCAAGATGAATAAAATAATCAGAAACATTCGCGAATTTGACTTTCTGCACGTGCATACATAGCATCAACAAAGTCGCTGAAAAGTGCAAATTTTTAAACTTATTTAACTAGCGGGCGTTTTCTTTTCAATTCAATCGCCGATTGCTCGGTTTTGAAGCAAAATTGAACAAAAATAGTTAACATACGGAGACGGTTCTCTATTAAACCTATATTTGGATGCTGTTTATTTTTGGCAGTGTATCTTTTGATATACATTTAATTTATTTTTTTAAACGGCATTTTCAGAAAAATAATCCAAAGGGTTAACCGTGGTTTCTAACAGAACCAATTTTATTTTTCTCTATCAATGCATTTAACCGTTTCATCAATCAAATTTTTGGTTTGTGATGTTCCGAGTATCTGGGAATTTTAAATTTGAATCGTTCCCGCGTTTACGTATTTCATTTATGGAGAAAAACCCAAGCTACTCTACTATAGATGTTTACCATGCATTTTTAACAATTCAAATTGCACAATGACGAGTTCTTAAATGATTTCGTGTCAGGTTTTCACACTAGCGATGTTGTAGTCGACGCATCGTTATGATAATGAATGTAGTTCCAAGTGTGTGTGTGTGTGTTTGTTCAAGACATTTAGGCCGGGATCAGACGAGCGTTTATTGAACTGACGTCGCAACGCCTGATATTTTAAACGCGGTGTTTTTCTCATAGTCATACGAGCGCTCAGTTGCAGCAAACCATCGACCTGGATTAGTGATTCGCACAAGAACGTATTTGCTTCACGCGCTTGAAAATAGCTACCTTGAATCATCGCGCTAATAGTTACTTAATAAGTCAGGGAAGCTTACCACTACTGGTGAGGAAAAATTAAATTGAATTAATTTCCGAGTCAAGTACTATCACTCTCGGTAGTGCGGCCTTGGCTGAAACCCAGTCCCGTCCAAAAATAAAATAAAGTGATGACAAGTGAGTCATTAGACATTAACAATGACTGTGCCAATGTAATATACGAGGCGGCAGGGAAAGGAATCTGGTAAAGTGACAGGCTCACGGTATAAGATAGTACACCGTTACTGCCACTCCCATGGAAGCTAAAATTTCTAGACATACAGTAGGCATGTTCATGAAAGGTTTCTTTGGTTTCATGACGATTTTAGGAAAAAAACATTAATATTAAGATGCTCCGACGACTGTGGATTATGTTTCAGTCGAGGTTTCAGTCTATAGTTAAAAGAGAGGCGCCCTGGAAAATAGTGTAAGCATTTAGAGCGAGTAAGTTCGGTCAGTATTGTAACGTGATTTATAAATTCGGGTTCGATTTATATCAATATTTATTAAACAAAACTAAAACACTATAAAAACCGTACAATTTATATCGACTATTTATATCACAGACTTGCTTTATATATCGCAATTTATATTTCCGCGCTCGATGTTTCATACGTACTCGATCTCGTTCGGTAGTAAACTTCCGCGATGTTCGGTCCGCAACCATTTATACACGCAAGCAATGTAAGTCCAGAACATTCGCGTAATTACCGGAATATTCCTATACAAATCCCACTATCGCGCGCGTAGAAAATTCCAGAGCGCCAAAGGCGACGTCATGTCTGGAGCGTTTCCGTTACAGTATAATATTTTGCAATATTAAAGGTTGACATTTGAACTTCTGCACAACCTTGCAAATTTTATGGGTTCAAATTTAATATCAAATGGTGATATTCTCATTAAACCAATTTTTTGCATTTTTTAACACAATATTAAAAAAAATTCTGGATTCTTTGTGCATTCTTATCGTAAAATTTTGCAGAATATTTGTGAGGTGTTACTTTAAATTAAAAAGATGATTCGCAAAATTAATGACAAAGAGTTTCTTGACCAACATTATTATTATGAGTAAGTTCCTATACCAAAAACAGACACACACCGCAAGAATTGCAAGAAATTTGCAAGACAAGACAAGACAAGAAGTGACCAAGTTCTTGCAAAAATTTGCAAGACAAGACAAGAAACAAGACAAGACAAGAGAGGGCCATTTCTTGTCTTGTCTTGTCTTGCGAGAATCACTAACCTGGATGAAGAGTTGCATGTTGCCATATTTTTGCATTTGTCACCGACGTAACTCTCCGCAAAACACCCTACCTTTTAATTTCCTCGTAATACCCATCTCCGCATAACTTGACGTTTCCAAAAGTTACGTTTTTAACATGTTTATCATGCGCTCAAATGCGCCGTAAACAGAAATGTTTGCACCATTATAGTCTTTTAGGATCCCTTTACAGTATACATTGTATCCAAGATAAGTATGGGGATCTCCGAAACCATAGAAGGTACGACGAAAGTCAAATTAGGGATGCCCAAGTAAAGAGTTATTATGCTTTAAAGAAAACAAGAAAATTCCGATTACTTCCGATGACATATCACAAAATCGAAATAGGACAATTTTGTTTTTACTTTTTTTGTATGATATTATTTGAACAGATACGTTAGCCCACCCCCACTTTTTAAAGATTGTTTATAGCTTCACCGTGATGGGCTAGCTTTAATTCAAGTGGCGCAATTGAGCGCATAACCAGATGTATCGAGTGACACAGATACCGGTAGCAAAATGCGTTATGACTGTTATGAGGGGTTCCGTTAACTTGGCCCCTCCCAAATAAATATATTTAAGGATGACAAAAAAAACAAGAATGGCGCAATCTTTTTACGGCGCATTTTAGCGCATACCTAGGAGTACAATTTCGTATGGAAAGATGATAGAAAAAAATAACTTTTAAAAACGTTAAGTTGACCCCCTTTTTTTGAAAATGTGTCATAGCTTAACCGTGATGGCGCTAAATTTAATTGAAGTGGCGCAATTGAGCGCATAATCGAATGTATCAGCTGACCTAGGTACCAGCGATAAAATACGTACGGGAGGGGGGGGGCTACGTACACTTGGCTCCTCTCAAGGGGGGGGGGCAAGTTAACGGATCCGTCCCTTGGACAGAATTATTCGGATGTCTGAGTGAATTACATCCGTTAATATATTTAATTAATCGAAATATTTAGGTTTGAAATTCAGAGACATCTACACCGAATTGTTAAATTTGCATAATTCCTCCAGGTATATTGGAGTATCAATTTATGAAGCAACATTTCGTTTAAATTTTTATTATTGGCATTAAATTAATTAGATACCTGTGAAAAAAGAAATGAACGAAATTATCTCCTAATATTAACCCATTTATTTACCTGGGCTAGCTAGATGTACAGAAGTATAAATAAGGTAAGTTCCGAAATATTTCACCAACGATGCGAAGAAAAGAACAGGATAAAAAGCATTTCTACTGCGAATCATTTGTAACCATCCGTTACAAGTAGCGACAGGAAGGGACGGACAGGCGGATGGACAGATGAACGAACAAAGTGCTACAAATGCTATACAAAGTTGGAAATTCACAACACATCAACATGCATCACAATGGTTGCATAAACTTAGTTTATTCTAATAGCGTTACATGTGTTTTAATTCCTAACTACAAAAACCGACCGGAAATATCGATTCACATACATTCAAATACCGGGTGAATCATTAGAACTGATGTAGTTTGAATTTCGCGCGCACAATTCTAGTGTTTTTTACGGGATAGAATTGGCGATGATATATTTTTAGTTATTTTACTAATTCTTATTAGTCACCAGTGCCGTCTACGTATACATATACCCGTACCGGGTTTCTGTTCTACAGCAACTGCACGCTCTTGATTATGAGAATCGACGTAATTATTGTGATTGATTTAATAACAATTTAAATAACGACTTATTTGTAAATTACAAATAAATTATTACTCCTTGGAGAGTGATTCTACATACACCACTGGAATTAGGCAAATGATAGTCTATTATTACCAACCTTTAAAATTTTTTGTTTTGCGGGACATTCAAACTGTCATCAGTTCTAATGAATCACCCGGTATATCTTGAACATCACGTGTATAACTCATAGCCCCGATTATATACTTAGTATAAAATGCGTAAAATCACGATAATCTGAGGTCTATTTTCGGTTAAAAACGCCAAATTTGCATGGTACCAAAATAGTTCATTATTATTTCAACATATCTACCGGTTCTCTGTCATACACCAACGATATAATATATCAAAGGTTACTTCGGATTAGTTTGATACTGCACGAAAACAACAACCCTTTGCAACATTATGGAGACACAAAGTTCATAACCCATTGATTAGATAGGTACGTTACATACAAATTTAAGAAACTGTCTTAATTAAAAATGTCCCATTATTCGTCACTTCTCGAAGTTATATAGTGTAACCATTATTTAAAAATGTGGAATACGATCGCTCTCAGTATATTACTTTTATCATCCACTGTTTTCTCTGGCAAAGTAGTTACCGTTAGTACTGAGCACTAATCAAAACATTGTTTGCAGGTGCCCAGTGACATTTCCGAAGATTGGACGAAATCGGTAAATAAGGTAAAAATGGAATGTTTAGAACAAGGGAACACTACCGTGGAAGCTGTCGATGCAATGCTTGCAACATGGGACATACCCGAATCGCTTAATTGTTTTATGACATGCGTGTTTGAAAAAAATGGATTTGTAGATAAGGATGGAAATTTTACTGAAGTACTCCTTCAACATAAGGGTGTAACTCAGGAAAATCTGCGAAAATGTGAAAATGCAGTTGAAGCATACAACAAAGAAAGTTGTAATAGAGTATATTATTTTTGCACATGTATGATCTCTTCAGTATCCATCAGCAATGTTTGATTATGCCTTTTTGCAACGTATGCAGCTTACAAGTACCTATGTTGGCTTAATATTAAGTAATATAATATATGGGGTGTTCATTTGAAAACTTCCCACCACGGATTTATCGAAAACCACCGATTAAAGGAAAAAGCGCCGAGACACGTCAAAAGATTTGTCAAGGGGGACAACTTTTTAACCAAAAACTAGTTAACCCCCTTTCACCCTCTGCCCCTCAGGGTCATTCCCTTAAAAGTTTTAAATGGCAAGTGGTATCGAGTAATAGCTTGTTTGAAAGGTCTTTTGAGGTCCTTTATTTTGACGTTTGATTTTTTAAAATTGGTCGATTCGTTTTCTAGAAAATAAGAATAATTTCCACTCTTTCGGCTAGTGTGTAAACCATTTTGGATGTAAAATCTGAATCAATAAATTAATTTTCATTATCCCAAGATTGTCACAAAGGTAACTGACAGCAAATTACATTCTTTCTTTCCCATAGCAACAAATAAGTGATATTTCCGTTTGTTTTTGTTTTCTATCTGAACAAATTAAGATAGGTCGATTATAAATAAAGATTTTCTAATTTTCTCAAAAACGGATCGACCGATTTTAAAAAATCAAACGTCAAAATAAAAGACTTCGAAAGACCTTTCAAAAAAGCTAGTACTCGATACCACTTGTCATAAAAAAAGTTTGAGGGAATGACTCTAGGGGGCAGTGGGTGAAGTAGTTTTTTGTTAAAAAGTTGTTCCCCTTGACAAACCTTTTGACGTGTCCCGGCGTTTTTTACTTTAACCTGTGGTGGCAAGTTTTCAAATGAATACCCTGTATAAAATCAATACCCGGGAATTGTAACACTATGTTCTGATTCATTCCTCCGAGATTAACAAACGGCCAAAAATAATGCCAAGTTCAATGGTCTCCTCCACACAACAGTCGCCAATTTCACTTGCTGCACATGCATACATGGCAGCATCGATACATGGCAGCATCGACAGAGTCGCTGCAAGGTGCAAATTTTTTAACACAAGAAAAATATGTTTTAGACTTGTACGTCTTAAAAACCTGGAAGCCGACCACTCTAATTACAAACCTCTTTCATTGCAGACATCTTGAGAACCGAAGGTCACATTAGGTTCAGTTGATACCGCCCGCGGCATCTTGGTTAGCGTCGAGTTGTTAGCGGAGGCCCGCACACTGGCGGAATTTGTTCTTGAATAAAGGCATCATTTGAATATGCTAACACTAGAATATGCACCAATGACCATGCCTCCCCGATGACAAATAATGAAAAGTGCCAAAACAGTGCCATTATATATTTTGATATGGTACGTACTGCTTAGGCCCAGTTTGAATTTCATGCAATTCCACAACTAACGGAGATCTCAAAAAAGCCTTTCTTGTTTTTTGGTATAGGTACATTGCCTGTGCAAATCATCCATCCGATCTACAAATTTACGAATACTTATTAGCTTGTTTTTATTTTTGTGGACACCAAAACTCAAAAGTATTCAGAAGTAGCAGAACATGTTGAAGTTAAATAGTCTCTACACTGTAATGATTGAGACGAAACCTAGCATCCATTAAACTTTAAAGTGTCCGTTCAACGACAATTTTAGTTTTCGACAAAGGTTTTCTGCACATTTGATATTTCTTTGGCTTTTCAGCTATATTCGGTGGGCGACCCATGTATAGATATTAATTTCCCATATCTTCCACGTCTGATACTGATTTTTAATGAGTAAATAAATGTACCCACTACGACTACCCAATAGTATATCAGCCAAACAAAGTAAGTGCAATGAATGCGTTATATTAAATGTGCTTAAGTAACTCAAAAGCATTCTTAGTAATTGAACTGGATAGCTTCCAAGTCCAACGACACAATGAGAAAAGTTGCTTCGATGCAATATAAAATACCGGAGCTGTTCCCGACCATTTGGAAAATTGATCATACCGATAAGAAAAAAATGACAGTTGTTTTCGAGGGAAGCGAACGCCTTAAAGATTTACTACGCGTATTATGTTCGAAGCAATCGCAGGTTCATTTAAAAGACATGCATGAATTTTGTTGTAAAGACACCCCTCGTCATGGGAATATACAAATGTGTATTATAGAAAGCACGAGATGATTAAAATGCCAAGCACAAAGCGCTCTTAATTTCTGAACTAGCTGAAGTAACCAGCCCCTATACAAGAGGGAAACCAAAAGATTAGGATTTATGTCTTTACATTCATTTTTGTAAGTAGGTACCTATAATAGTAGGAGTAGGTACACAAGCCCATTGCATTGTTTATCGAAGCATAATATCATGTTGACAATAAACAGATACTCTCTAAATTCACAGACACGCGAAATTACATCTGAGAGCTGAACTGCAAATGACTATTCGGAGCTGTTGAGGTTGCCCACTTTGAAACAATAGTGTGCTAATAAAAACTTGTGCGAATGCGGCTTGCACTGCGATTGCAAATTAGGCGCTACCTTCTATGGTAATGGTAAACCGTTTGCATCCAGTATCCCGAGATGTAGCTTGATATGACTGTTTCCCCGATAAAGTGCCCTCTTGTAATTGAAAAGATCTATAAACATCTTTGCAAATGAACATGAGCAGATGGATGTCTGACAGAAAAATATTCCCCACCAAAAAATAATTGGACGATTTCTCTTGTGTTCTCGTTACCATATCTAAAGTTGATCGTGGACCTGCAGATCGCAAAAATGGCACATCGTCAATGGATGTTTCTCCAAGGCGCTCCAATTCCCCTTTGTGCGTACCCTCTTCCAACACTTTACATATACGGTAACGGGTCGCGGAGGAAGACTGTGATTGGAAGAAATTAATTCATTGCGTTGAGACTTTCAATAGAATACCATGAATGATAAAACCAATTTCTACCCCACCCCTCATCCTCCACCAAACAACTCATCCTCGACATTACGTTTTATCGTTGAGTGAAGGATCTAGGTAGAGAGGCAATGCTTATGTTAAAAGTATAGTGAACGTGGGGTTTGAGATATAGGCGGCCAAGAGTGATCTCAGATCCCGACGGCAACAACCAAGTCGGCGATCCAGATCCGGATTGCATTATTTTATTTTCATATTTTCGCTACCACAATATTAACCTTACAATTACATTATCGCATTATTAAATTTGCGAGGGCAACAGGCGAAATATACGGTTACGGTAGGTCCGTATCAGAGGCTGCATGTGGCCCTTGTAAAATTAATTTGTGATCGATGATCGAAACAGTATGTTTACGGTGACCGAAACATATTATTTAAAAGTATTATAATGCACATTTTATATCTAGGTATATTCTATATAAAACAAGCGGCCGCATCAAAAGCAAGCCTTTAATCATGATAGCAGAATAGCTAGATAAAGTTACCAGCAGATTCGCCAATTAAACAAGTTGTCTTTGACCTTCCCGGTTATGATAAAGAGAAACACATAAAATAAATGGTACACAGGTACTTATCATTATAAAATTCAGTAGGTACCGTCTTTTTTTCAAATTGTCACGTTAATTGCGAGAGAGTACCTATACCTAGCGTTATCGGTTTAAAATAAGTCGGTAGTGTGCTAAAATTGTAGGATGAGTGTTGCAAATCATATTTGCGTTTATGCAAATTGCTACATCAGCAATAAACATAGTGATGGGATAAGTTTCTTTAAATTTCTAAATAATACCTACTTTACTCGCACAATCGCAAAATACATAAACATAAATGATATGAGATACTTTTCTTTGTGATTAGGTAGGTATACTTTTTTGAATTTCGTCCGTACGTACCTGCTGCTTTTAGAACTGCTCTTAATTAGGTATCTGATCCAATAATTATGATAAGGGACTGATATTTTGCAGGTATACAATTGCATGAAAATAGAATGACTCATTTTGTTTACGTGTGTTACAACGGTTTTCGATAGTTGCAATTGGAGTTACGCTAAAGACTGATTTCGTTGGAGAGGGCGGCTGGGCGAAAATACTGAATACTTGTAAATTGTAAAGAAGGAAAGCGCCGTCGAAATTGTCGGTGGCGTTAGCTGTCGGTGTTGCAAAACGTGGACTCGGAGGGGTAGAGACGCGATGTGCAATAGAGAAGGGACTACCTTAGTAAAAGATCGGAAAGGATGACCGCTTTTCATATAGGCATTACCACTCTACCTAGATCCTTCACTCAACGGTTTTATATTGTTATACTTTTACTGGAATTTCCCCTTTTTTATCAAAGTGCGTCCAAACTTTGAAGTGGAGCGATCTATTGAAATAAACGCTTTTTGCTTTTAGTTCTCTTATGGTTATTTGAGGAAGTATCCATTGGAAGTGTTGAAGGGCCATACAGTTTGGTTAGCGCCGATAATCATGAACCAGGAAGCATTGATTATTCTGAAATGTAGTAGGTTATTGTGGATATTTTATCATTGATTTTTGAAAAAGCTCTTTGTTGTGAAGATACAGGGCGAAAAATAAGCGATTCCTTTGATTGATTATTTTGTTCGTTTTTCGTCAATTTTGTTAAGATTGATTGACGTTTGGCTATTTGGCGTGTAAATTCTGCCTTAACTTAAAAGTTTGTTTGCGAAGTACTCTACGAAGTGGATGACCAAGAAGGCCAACGACTGTAAAAACGGTGGACGTAGAAAAGAATGTGCTGGGGCATGATAGAAGTAAATCCAGGTACTTCTACTCGAATAATAATAGCAAAAACTTTGGATTGGACTATTTAGAAAATTCTTAGAGACACTTAATGCAAGTCACATTTTTAGTGGATATCGCATCTTAAAAGTGCGTAACAAATTGTCGTAACGAGGACCTAGTATTTTAAATCAAAGAAGATTTCGAGTAGCGCACTATAAAAAGGACAATTATTGAGTTTCAAACGATGAATAAAGCTTATTAGTTACGGAACAAATCAAGGCGAGTCTAAATATAAACGCATCCTATTCGCAAAGGAACATTTTTGCAGTAATTAAAAAATAAGTTTGCATAAATAACCTTGCATCCAGTAGCAGTTCTCATTCTACTGGAAGCCAATTGTAGCACCCCCAAAAATGCAAAATCCAAATATTATTTCAAAAAGTACAACTAAACGGGTTAATGATAAAGTAACTACGTATACAGATAGAGCAGGCATGAATGCAGATAACGGTATTCGACCTTCTATCCAGAACGAGAAATCACCTGTCGTCAAAATTCCAACTGATGACAACAATGAACATGAAGGAGAATGGAAAACGATAAAAACTACTCGCCGCTTACGCAGAAAATCACCTGTCCGTGGAACAAATTCTTCAAATCTGGATATTCAAGGAATACCCCGCCTGTATCACCTTTATGTAAGTCGATTACATCCAAGTCTTTCCGCAGTTAATATTATAATATAGTTATATATTAATCTTATGATAAGTTGAACATATTATTGTGCTTGACAGAACACTGGGTGAATGATAGTGTCGTTAATCTTGTTAACACATCTAATTTTAGACTGATTTCCCACATTTCCCACTTCAGTAGGAAAGTGCATAAGCATGGTGGCGTAATGATCCTTGTGAAACGCGACGTCGAATGTTACTCCATTCCGCTCACTGAAAAAATATCGGTTGATAATTGACTGTGAAATATCAGGTGTATTTATGAAGAACAGCAATATTATTATTCTATCTGGGTATAGATCTCCATTAGGGAATTTTAATGTGTTTATCGATACTCTTACTGTATTATTTTCTAAACTAAATATTTACAAAAATATTGTCATTTTATGTGGCGATTTTAATTGAAATTTCACACAAGTAATAATCAAGCCATATATCTTACGGACTGGTTAAGTAGCTATGGACTATATCCTACAATATTTAAAAATACTAGAAATCAAAATTGTCTTAATAATATTTTTGTAAACTTTGATGCAGGATTGAATTTTAATGCTTCTGTATTTGATGCAAATATTTTAGATCACCTAGGACAAACCATTTATTTTGCCACCCAGAGCATCAAACATAAAAACAATTGCAAAATATGTAGACCAATTACGACCGTGGGTAAGTGGATAATGTACAGTATGCTTGAGAATATGGATTGGTCATTCGTAGACGTGCGGAAGAAAAATTCAAGTATTTTCTAAATATGTATTGTTAACGATATTTTCCTTTTTAGCTTTCCTACAAAGGCCCTTAAAGAATCACGTTTATCAAGTCCTATGACTAATTGCCAATTGGTTTGACGATCGATTAAGCAATATGCGGGAAACTCTCAGGTTACTCAACGACAATTATAAAATGTTTAAAAATGAAGAGACACGTAACTTGGCAAGTACTTACAGACAGTTTAATAAAAAAGAAATGAGTAAAGCCAAAATTAGAGCCAATGATAATTTTGTAAAAAATTCTAATTCTAAACCCAAGGCTATGTGGAAGGTAATAAAACAAAATAGCCATGAGAGTTGCGGAGGTACCACAAATTTAACTTTTGGTGAATTCAATTACTTTTTTGTGAACATTGCTGACGAAATAAGCGCTTCACTTCCGTCTCAAAATAAAGACCCAGTTAGTTACTTTAGTAACTATGCTATAACTTCGATATCCTTTGATTTTAATGAAATATCATTCAATAATGTTCGAGATATTGTAAATGCTATTAATAATAGTAGTTGCAAAGATTATTTTGATATAACTGCTAGTATCTGCTAGTATCTAATATCTGCTACTATCTTTTTCAACTGAAGATGCAACTACGCATTTTATGCAAGCCGTTTACAATGAACTGAACGCCGGTAACCTTGTTGTAGGATTGTTTTTTGATCTACAGAGAGCGTTTGATACTGTCAGCCCCAGATTTCTAAAAGACAAATTATCAGCTTTGGGCATTCGCGGAGTTACCTTAAATGTAATCTGCAACTACTTAGAACACAGGAAGTTAGTTGTTACGGTTAGAGATCAGTTATCTGAAGAGTACCCTGTTCAGCTGGGTGTTCCCCAGGGATCTGTGATGGGGCTCTTATTATTCATTATTTTTGTGAATGATATGCCAAACTTTATAACAACAAATAATATTACAATCTTTGCTGATGACACTTCAATGGTTGTGGCGGCAGCTTCTACTGGGGAACTCTTAGCTCGTGTGGAGTATGTAACGTGTGCTTTTAAGTCTTGGTGTACAGACAATGGTATGGTTCTTAATATTGCTAAGACAAAAT